AAGTTCCTACCGTGTTCGGCGGCCGTCATGGGAAGGGCCCATTCGCCCACTGTAGATCTTTTGCATCGGCGAGGCGGAGATACCGTTGCGGTTCAGACGGCTGGTCCTCCAACGTTCATACCAAACAACACGACTGGCTTCGCGGAGTTCGGTGCGCCAATCGGTGAAAACAGAGTCCTTGAGCTTCACAAAATCGCAGTGTGCGGGGTCGTACGGGTTGGCGAACCCCCAGGGAAATTTGCGACCAACTGGCTCATCCCCAGCTTCGAGGGAGTGAGGGTCTGGGGATAGAATGGAGAACGGAAGATGTTGATAGGCGGCTTGAGATCCTGAAGACTGAATTGTGTGTTCGCTTCGTTGCGACGGTGAGCTTGGAGTGGAGACCTCAGCTTTGCCCTTATCGACAGGGTCCGATTCCGCCTTGTGCTCCTCATTCGCGTTGTCGTCCGCGTCAGTTCCCTCCTCATTTTCGTCGGCGCTTTCTGAAGACGTATATTCGTCCTCGTCCTCCAGAGTCAGAATTTCGAGAGGGTCAATGTTCGCCTTCTTTAGGCTCTGCCAAACCGCCTTCTTCAGATAGCTCATGTGAGCTGTGGTGATTGTATCGGCCTTGCTGATGACAGGAACCACAGTGGTCTTCCCCAAGACAGTCCGTAGAACTTGAATATCGAGGAACTCATCCAAAACCCCAATCACTGGCGTATCTGTTGCTTTGGAAGTTCCTTGTGAAGCGCGTTCAGCGGCAGCGATGTTCTCATCCAGACGCACAGGATCAAGAAGCAAGAAAGTGCAATGGATATGTGTATCCCGAAAGCCGGGGGACCGAATCACTTTCGTCTCCTCGCGCAAAGTCTCTTCGAATTTGCTCTCCAGGAATCCGGTGACACCGCGCAGTTGAATGTCCACGATATTCTTCTCCAGTCCCTGAGAGTCCCACAGGGTCAGACCCACACGCTCACCGTCGATCTCGGTTTCAAGGTAGTGAGAGGTGAAGCCTTCGTTGGCAGGTGAGTGGCGTTCGTATGCTTCGACTTCTTCTGGAGATCGAATGGGATGCTTGTGTGGCGGCATAGTTAAAGATTTCCTGAGAAAATTCAAGAAGGAGGTCTTGCCCGAGTTTCGAGCACCGATGACAAGGACACTACTCAGAATGTGAGCACATATTTCCACATCCACTTTTCACGCGATGTTGCTACTTACTTGTAGGGTGTTGGGTCCTTGCGCCTCCGCATCCTGCGCGGGTTGTTGACCGTACTGACAGCACTGCTCGCATAGCTGTAACGTCCACGGTGGGTCATACTCTCCGTACGCGCGTAAGGATCAACTGCCTCTGCAGAGGTAGGCATATTGCTGCGAATGGCAAGGTTATGATGAGAAGCAATTGTCTCTTTTGACGGAGTGGGAACACTGTCGTGCTGTCCGTCGCCCCCAAAAGTCTCGATGACCGGCGTCGGTGCCAGGTCGGGCAGACGAGGAGGGAATTGTGGCATGGACTCGCGTTGACGGCGAAGCTCCTCCTCCTGCGCCTGCGTTCTTTTTTTGCTTCTGCTTCCGGACGGTTTCCTTTCACTCAGCGGCTCAGTTGACTTTGCACGACGAAGAAAACCTAGAGATGATGCACGACGTTGATCCTTGGACTGACCGTTCCCGTTCTCTGTGATGGGAGAAAGTGTGTCTGAGGAAGGCTGAGTCTGCCCAGGAGTCCGGGGTCTCGACGCGGTTGCCATTCTTATTGGTGTTAATCCGACAGGCCTCTTCCTAATGATCACTGACAGGCTGTGATTCGGTTGAAAAGTGGGGAAACTGTGAATGAGGAGTGTCTCAGATATAGAACTTCTCACCAATAGTAGGACGTTTCACCAACCCTCTTTATGTTACTTCAGAATGACAGTGGTTTGTCCCTGGAGTAATTTTAGATGTATTAAAACTGTGGAGGCGCCTGCAAAGTAGATGCTGTATGCAAGTCAGCCAGAGCAATCATCCGAATCGCGCTTCAATTACACGGTAGGATGTTGTTGGTTCATCCGTTGAATTTATCGAACAATTTTACTCCTATTTCAGACCGACGTCACTGACCTTGTATCAATTTGGTGCCAATTGACTCTGTATAGCGTACCAGTGCGTATTCCTCCACGTGGGAAAATCGATTTTGGCACGTTCTTGTCGACGTCTCTTGCCTAGCAGCAAAGTTGTCGTAAACAATAAGGAGTACAGGCCGGTGAAATGGTGTCTCTGAAGCGGTGCAGGTCAGAGACAGGATGCGCTGGTCGGAATCCTCTGAGAGCCAGGATACACGCCTCCGAGAAACGAATGAATGATGATAAGAAACCCAACTGAGTAGGGATCAGAAGGGCCCGATTTTAAATGACGTCCACCAGCCCAGCAAGTGTTTTGTCGGAACCAGCCCCAAGTCTCTGCTGGAGGAGGGAAAATATGGAGAAAAGAGCGATTGTAAGTTTTAGCAAGAGATTTCGGATTCTGCTGATGAAGCTTCCTCCTTTAATATTCAGATTTTCCTTTTGATTGCCTTCTTTTTTTTTTCCCTTTTTGTATGCCTTCCTTGAGGTCAAAACGAAGCGGATGATACCTGCTCACAGCGTCCGACTGAAGCGGCGCTTGGATAGAAAAGAAAGATCCAAGAGAAAGAAAGAGGGTTGGAAGGATAGAAAAGAGAAAGGAGGTTTACAGGACAAGAATGAATCGAGATGGAGCAAATCGACGGCGCCCCAGACTGATGATGATCAGCCCAAAGAACAGAGCGCGATAACGGTCTCTTCTCCCAAAAAAGGCTCCTACCTTAAATATTTAACTATTCGTTCCTCTTTTGTCCAGTTCAGAACTCTGGGTTTTGCTCTACAAGCACATACAAAGCTTGCCAATGTTACTCTACATCTATGTCTTCAATCATCTTCCAGAGAAGCCCTTGGGTGTCCAGCGCGTCTTACTGTAGTTTTTTACTTTTCTCTCTCTTTCAACCAGCTAAATGTTGTTGAGGAACTTCTGAGCTCGACTAGATTCAGGGGCAGGAGATACCTAGCAAATAATAATCTCATCAGGGGCTCGACTTTCGAGCGCTCCCCACTCGGACGAACCTACTGGCTAAGAATTAGGTTCCGTTACTGGTCCTGGACTCGTGGTCACCCTCGTCTTCTGTCTTAGTGGCTGAACTGTTGGAGCTTTAGCTTGCTTTACGGAGGGGCACATTGACTGAGCAATTTCATTCGTGGCTAACTGGACTAGGTAGCTTTCGCCAGCACAAGGGCATCTGAGCACATTCAGGGGCCACGGCAGTCGAGTATGACATGACACCTGAAAATGACCATTGATTCAGGTTGTTCATGAAGGCTCCATAAAGCAGAAGTGCTCCGTATGAAGAGGTGCGTTTTTTGACGAGCCACCACCTATACTTAATCTCTCCTGGATGCACCCACATCTCCAACGTTCATGCAGGTTGATCCATCAGATGGGGGACATTGTTGATTATCGAGACTATGTCTGGGTCTGAATTTTACGTGCTGTATTTACTCCGTTCCTAGTCAGGGGTCATTGCCTTGTCTGGTTTAGCTTGCCAAGAAACCACGCAATCCAGGAAGGAACAGCCGGGAGATATGAGATCATGTGGTGTAGGGCTCTCCACCTTTCTTGTCTCTGAGAGGAAGATTATAAGATTATTTATTATAATCTGTCCTGGAACTCCAAACCCCTTTGATCCGAGTGTTTTGATTTTGACTCTGGTGTCGGGCCGGAACAACAAAGGTTCCTTCATGCGGCCTTAGGTCTTAAAAGGCCTCATGTATGGATCAAGTGGTGATAGAAAATTCATTTTACGACCATGGACTGGTCACTGTTCCCGATGCCCTTCAAATACAACCTAATTATGCATTACCATCGACCATAGAAACCTCGACGCAACTGACATCGAAATCTCTTCCAAGGCGATGAGGAATACTCAAAGAACCACATTGTTTGGACTGTGAAAGCCGCACATTCCCAGAATTGGCGCAATTTGCACTTCAGGCGCAGATCAGTTTCCAGATCCCCTGAGTGTCCCTGATGTCAAGCGATCGATTGCACCTAGCGGTAAATATACAAACGGTAAGCTATCTGCTCCGCAAACGATATTCAGTCTTAATCTCCGTAAGTAAAGCATGGTCACCCTTCTCGTGATTCCACATGTTTTGTCTATGCAATGCCCCATTCTACTAGATAGTCTAAAACGTAAGTACCAGTTGAATGTCTTGGGGCTTATGCAATCACGATCTTGCCATCACAGCCTCCACCAGGCCATAATAATGGGCCCTGAAAGCTTCAACTCTTTGTCTCCACAGTTATCAAGCTTTGTCCCGCATTTCCCTTGCATTACCGATCACTCTTGCTCTACCGATGCTGTTCTCCATACTCGAAACGGGATGACAATGCATGGGTTGTCCGGACACACTTGGTCGCGAACAAGCTTCTTGAATTTCGGTCCATTTGGTCCCCCGCTGTACTTCTTCTGACCAAATAGCTCAGGCCCACCCGGCAATGCATCATCGCCCCACTGTCCATTGAAGTTCAACCAGTTAACAGGATAACTGGGGTCATAAGGTCGAAAGGTCCTGCTGCCGGAATCATAGCTATATGCATAGGCGCTCAGTACGGGATCCCACAGCAACCCGCGGTCAGTATGGTCAACAACAAATCCAGCGGGGAGATTGAGATGGGGAATCGTATGATCATGATCGCTGCGCACGGTTCATGCCCTTAGCACGCGCCGTCATCATCAAGGTTATGCGTCGGTCTACTCACCCCGCCATAACGTAAACAGCGTGCGTGCCTTTTGCCGAGTATGCATATGGCCGCTTGCCTTGTTTCTCAGTTGCGTCGTATGTAAAGGCTTGTCCTCCGGCATGCTGACTATACCAAAGCGCTTGGGGGCTGCCATTCGAAAATCGGATCATATTGTGCTCCCTATATTGCATGAGAGCTGTGCGCCAATGCTGATGATCTTTTGACTCGACTTACCAGTCCCCGACGTGGTCACCGAATTCCATACCCAGGACGGTGTTTCCTTCGTTGTACCTTTTGATCCATGAGTCTGCCATGATCATCACCGAACAGTTCGGCCATGACTTACGCATAGAAGTAAAAATAAAAGGCATCCACCGTCCCATTGTTATGATCACGAATAATAATCATTGAGGAAACGGCGCCGTTCGTCTTGCCCTGTTGATCTGGAGCGGTGCCCTTGAACCACGCTGGCTGCGGAGAAGCGTTAATACCTTCCAGGGATGTCAAGTAAACGCTTGTGTTGCCCAGACTGTTCAAGCTGTCGAGGTTATCAAGATTCAAGGGTGACTGGAGCCCTTGGATCGGTTTATGGTCCACCATTGGCGTAGTATGTACAAGTTGCTGTCCAATGTCGGAGGGCATGTACGGATCTTGGCTATGCAGCCATACAAGAGGTGCTACGCCGTTGTCAGAGCTCGAAGATCATACTCGATTGCTGCAAACACACGCACCGTATTCCAGCACGAAGCTCGGTATCTTTGTTGCCGCGAGATCTTTCATAACAGTATCTGCGGTCGCGACTGCTGGTTGTAGCATATTCCACGCGAAAACTAACGTCCATGGGGCCCGCATATTGGTAAGACAGACGCAATCAACGGTCTAAGCCTAGATTGTGCGTGATCCCAAGTCATCGATTCAAAATCATTTCAGAGAGGATAGTCATGAACGGCAGGCAATTTATAAGTCAGAATGGGTGCCGAGAAGCCAGGGCTGAATGATCATCAGTCCTCAGGAATTCGCCATCCTAGCCGCCTCTCAAATCTACAGCACATATTATTTCACACTGCAGTTGAAGCTAGAATCAGATTCTGCTGCAGCTGACAGACCATGAGAGCAACCAGGAATCATCCAATCAACCTCGTGTGAAGACCAGACAATCTGAGCTGCAGCTACAGTTCGTCCGTACATGGCTTGAATCAATAAGTGGCTTGAGGGGTCATTCCAGGGCGTAAATAAGCATGGTGCGGGTGATGCGGTCAAGAATTCCAATCAATACCAGGTTGATGTGATCGTCCAGTCACGTTGACCTCGGGTTACATTGTGAAGGATCCTGTGATATTGTTGGTCAACGACGGCTGATTGATTGTGATATGCTTGACTCAGTAGTTACCGTCGCCGCCACTCAAGTCATCAGATAATTTAGCCAGATGACAATCTACTCTCAGAAAGGTAAGGGTTGTATTACAGGGTTTCACTCACCATTTCGGCGCCTTCTAATTCAGGTTAATTTTCGATTCAACCAAAGCGATATTTAACAGGCAGGCGCCTTTGCCTTTGGTATTAACTATATGTATAGCCCTGCAGACAGTTCTACAACACCTCGACACAAGTCGGCTTGCCTGGACGTTCAGTTCTCTGCATTGTTCCCATATTTACAGGTCAGCATCGATTTATAATTTTCCAGCGTCCTGCGCAGCCTCCAGCTCTTTCTTCTTCTCCGCCTCTTTCATCAGCTTGAATACCCGCAGATCTAACGGAATCCTCTCTCCAAGCCATGTAGCACGTTGCGTATGATTTCGTTCTTCCTCTGAATCGACCGTGTTTGGGTGGATCAAGGCACTCAACGGTCCCCTATTGATAACTAGCCAAGGTACAAACGCACCGAACTGGGCAGGCGTGAAGACGTTGACTTCGAACATGGCCACCGGATGAGGTCCTACTGGCCTGTCGAAGAAGGCGTAAATGCGAAGCTCAGGGACTGCATCCTGTCAGTCATTTTCCTACTTGACTTGCAGATAACCGGATTTTCGCAAGAAGCTCGACAACAGGGGAAAGGCGCCCTTACATTCGCGTCTGATTCTTTCATGTAGAGCTCTGGCGTATGCGACCTGGTCTGGATTATTCTAATTGGGGAAAATCAGTTATGGACGAAACCGTCACCAATATATTGAAGGATTTCTAACCTGAAAATGATAGATATGGATATCAAAACCTCCACGGCGACCTTTAGCGAGAGGGTCGGGGAATTCCTCGTATGCTTTACTTAAGATTCCATGCTGGGGATTCTTGAGGGACTTTCCATCCTCTGTCTTTTCACTATCATAGTCTCGTTAGTTTCCCTGCCTCGTGTCTTATGCATATTCGCCCTGGACTCAGTCCTTCCGAAGAGCCGGAGCCTTACTCTGTCAGTGGTTCGAGGTTTTCATAGCCCTCGAGTGGAGACGGGTATGAGAAAGCAAATTGGTCCGTCATTGCTTGTGAAGATGATCAAGAGATTGAAATGAGAAAATGTGTGTAATTTTTATAGTATGTTTTGTTCAAGAGTTGGCACGAGTCTGTGAAAGATCTGGTGTTGAAACGAAAGGGCAGGTCCGAGGTTGTTATATATCTAAAAGGTTCCGCACTTGACCATGCAATTTCCAGAAATATGACGGGCATATGATGATTGACAATTCTGATTGACTGATTCTTAGAAATCTGAAAGCCTTGATTGAGGAATATGGTGCAATATCCCTAGTACGCAGAAAGCAGTCCTTCTGGTGTCTGTAATTCCGCACCCTGACAAAGCCGCGGAATCAACACTTATCTTGCCAGATGGGTGGAGATTAGGTGCACAGCTGAAGAAAAAGTTTTAGATGCTACATTGATTTTCTTTTGCATGTCAGTAAAATAAATATCCGCGACTCGGATATGGTCAGGCTCAATAATATGATATTAGGTTTGTCATTGTGAGCTCGTATGCCCTCAATTTGCTGAGTGCAATCATGATATATTCTGACAGGTCACCACCACAACTACAGTCCCAAGTAAAGGAGGCTCACTGCTTAAATCATGTTCATAATCATACAGAACGAGCTAACTTGTCCATAACGCCGGGCTCGCATGTATGCTATTCCCCCCAGCCATACCCATACAGAAATACTCCAACCCCCATACTCCGGTTGCTGAATAGAACCCTTTTCCTCTAAACAATGCTACCACGAAGCCTTGACATCGATATGTCCATCGTCATTGACAAACTTTCCCCGATCCCATTCACGACCCTCGCCTTTCTTTGACCACTTCACGTCTTCAAGTCTGCCTTCATCATCACCACCGCCTGTGGCTGTTTTACTAGAAGTACTCTTCCATCGATCAACGACAGCATCGTTGAAGCCCGCTTCTCGTAGTCTTTCCGCACCCTTTTGCTTCCAACGAGCACGGTCGCGAAGCGCCTCGAGGGCGAGCTCCCAATCATCTTCCTCTGTTGTAAGACCTGGAACAGGGCGTCGGGAGGGCCCTTTTCGCTGATCTTGATGGTCATCTTCCATGTGGACATCCAGCGTAGGATCGTAGTCGGGAGCAAAGTGAGCGTCGATATTGCTCAAGTTGGCTTTATAGGCGCCCCGACCCCGAGAGCGGATCGCTCCCGAATCGCTGTCGACACCATGCTTAGGAGGTAGTGGTCCCACCAAATCCTCGAGTGGATCAGACTCAAACCCAGACTCTTTTCTCGGAGGAGATGGTGTCCGCACTCTCCCACGTGCTGTGGCGTATTCACGTGTCGTGCGACCATCGAGTGAGCTGCGGCGAGTGTCGTGTCTTGTATCCTCTCTACCTTTCCGGCCCCTGTGTCTGTCTGGTGATGGGCTGCGAGAGGGCGACAATGAGACCGTGCGTCGATGTCGTCTGTAGCGATCGCGAGAATTCGAGGCATGATCATCTCGTGGAGAGCGGCTACGTGTGTATGAGCGGCGGCGATGTTCTTTCCTTGAAGATCGATGACGCTTTTCATCATTGTCGTCAGATCGATGGGTTCGTCGGTGTCTGCGGGACCGATCTCTGTCCGAGGAAGCTGAACGACTCCTACGGCTTCCCATATGAGGGCGATGACTTGAATCCCGGCTTCCTCTTGTGTCTCTCAGCGAGTCCAAGTTGCCCGACAGGTGCCGGGATCGATGACGGTCGCGTTCTTTGGTATCATTCGCCGAGGAAGACGAAGCTTGGCCCCGTAATTGTCGCATTCGTTCCCTGGCTTCCCTTCCTTCCTTCCGCTTCAATGCAGCGTTATGACTGTCGGTTTCCTTTATGATATTGCGTAGAAATCTCGTATTCGGTTTAGGAGCTGCACCTGTAGGCCTGCGAGGCGACATACATCAACACAACGCTGATTACGGTGCAACTCCACATCAGATATCGTACCTTCTGGGTAAATAAGCACCTAGTCCTTGAGCCGAATATTTCATCGAGCTGTCACGGGCCTCCTTGGCTAATACTTCCGCAACATAGTCATTGCTCAGTTCGTCGTTCGTTTCTCCAGTGTTTGAAGGCATGATTGCGGGCGAAGAAAGAAAAGCGGCGATTGCGCCCAAGTGGGCAATGGAGGTAGCTCCTTCAAAATTCAAGTTTTAGCCAGCAGACAATCTTCGCGACATCATTCATACAAGAAAAGAGACATAAACCGAGTGGATTGACGAAATATGGAAGTCTATCCGCTCATGGCCAGTGCCAAATAAAGTGAGTCAGTGACTTCACCACTGGCTGGGGAAGCCGCGCTAGACGGCAATCAAAGCGGTGTCCCTCAGTATTGTCCGATAAGCTTTTGTTTACTTTTCCGTTATCTACCAGCCAACGCGCAGTCTTGGAAGCGTATCCGTTCTGAAGATACCTAAGGTTCTCAGGCAAAGAAGTCTTTGATATTCCAGCTCAGGGCTTAAACATAGGACTCACGCATATCGCTGCCATACGTACCTCATTTAGCAGAGACCGCCTTTAGAATGACCGACCAGAGCCCCGCTGAAACACTCGAACAGCTCCGACAATTGGAGCAAGAGAATGGCGACCTGAAGACTCGTCTGGCCATCATACGCATAAGCGAACCTATCTCTTCTTCAGATGCCGAGAAAACCGATTCATCGCCGTCAAAGCGTACCTCTGACGTTTCGGCCATCGATAACCCCACACCTGCTTCCCTGGAAGCAGATTTGACACACTACAAGGTACGGATAGAGATAAGTGGACTTCACCACTGCATATACTATATCCTCATTATATATTCTCTCTGACTTGTATGAGAAGGAACTCTTCGCGAAATTGCGCTTTTCCTATGTTGAGCAAGTAACAAAAGAAAAATTCCTGCGAGCAATCGTGGGCGATCCTCCCCTGGTCGTCGGACACAATGAAAACGTAGAGTTGGAAGGGCAGTTAGCAGAGGTGAAAGCTGAGCTCAAGTCGCGCAAGGAAGAAGTTAGGATCATGATTGAAGATATGGAGAAGATGGGTCGGGATCTGGCGAGTCGTGAGTGCCTTTTGCCCACTACGGCACAAAGCGGCGCTAAGTATTATTTGCTACAGGATACAAAAAAGTGCAACTACAGATGACACAACTTTCAACACTCCCAGAATCGATAGAGAACCTTGAATCCACGATTGCCGGACTGCGTGCGAAACAGGTCGCCACGATGGGCACGACATCTTCCCAGAACCTTCCACTGCCAGTGACGCTGTCTCTTTTGGCTGAGCGCGAGGCGGAACTTGCAGCATTAAACCGGCAACTTGCGGCAGTACAGAATGCTCTGCCACGCAAGACAAGAGAAGCCGAAGCAATGGAAAGAGAATTGAGTGTACTAGAAAGACGCAGGAGCGAAGCAACCGCACAAGCACGGGAGGCACAGAGAATGAAACAGGAAGGCAAGAGTGACGGCCTCGAAGAGTTGGGCAGGTGGTACAGGAGCGCAGAGGAAACACTGAAAAGTTTGGTGGGTGTTGAGGGATAAAACAGAAGGCCGGATGATTGATGACTGGATTTGTATTATGGGGGCGTCGCGATTTCATAATTCGGATGTGTATATATAGGCGAAAGCGGTGGTATTCTAGATTTACAGCACAATGGTACAAGTTGGGTCTCGAAATGAAGCCCGTAGGCTATCTAATTCATTGACGTGCATGATCATACAACATGATACGCTATGCTGCAGACACCATGGAACCCCTCATGTTTTTGATTTCCAAAACGAGACCCGTCCGTACTCCTGATTTTTTGTTAAGACATTTACTCCTCGTCCTCCTCAGCCTCCTCACCGTCACCGCCAGCAGCGGCAGCGGCCTTCTTGCGCTGGACACGGCCAGGGCGGCCGCCACCGTAGGGGGAGGTGAGAGCGAAGTCGATGTGCTTCTGGGAGTCAAGGCGAACCATGTAGGAAGGCACGTTGACGATCTGCTTGCCGACACTGTTGGTTAAAAGGTTAGCATCATTTCCTTAGCGCTATCGCATGGTGAACCATACCGGATGTGACGCTGCTTGATCAGGACACGAGCGTGGTGGATAGACTTGGCAAGTCCGAGCTTGTAGACACAGGTCTGCAGACGACGCTCAAGGAAGTCCTCGACACGGAGGGCCAGGACGTAATCGAGCTTCATGCGGGACTCATCGAGCACACCAATGCGGACCAGACGACGAATCAAAGCGTTACCTTCGAAAAGACGCTTGGGATCCTTCTCGTCGAGGGTGAGAAGCTCACTAGACCGGAATATGTTAGTCACTGCTCTCAATTGTCGTGGGGCTGAGAAAGCGCATACCGAGCAGCACGACGGATCTTGGAGAGGGTGAGCTGGACACGCCACACCTCACGCTTGTTGCGCAGGCCGTACTCGCCGACAATCTTCAGTTCCGAGTCACTAGTGACCAAAGGTTAGGCATGGAACACACGACTTAAACAGAAGCACGCTTCTGATCAGTGGCCGGAGAGTACTAACAGACGAGCCGACTCGAAAGCTGAACATCAATTAGCGTTTATTCGGACTTTGATTAATTTTCCATTTTTGGATATATTAGAAATACTTACGACGACGAGGGACCTTGTAGGTCTTGGAGTAAACGCGACTGTA